ACACACACACACACACCTCAGTGATGTCATGTGAGGAGCTGAAGTGCCATCGCAGCAGAAGGAAGGCATGAATCATCCTCCTTGTGTTAATGTTTTCCATCATAGTTAACCCTCCAGGGATGGTTTATAGCTGCCCTTTGCCCTCTCTGTCAAATAGTTGCTCTCATCCATCGGTTTCATATGTAATATTACCTCAGATCAATACAGGTCATGACTGCTCAACGTTTATCGGCCCTTGCGGTGTCCACAACAGCCACAGATGCTCTGGATTGTGCTACAGACTATAATGTACTGTGCTGCTCTTTGACATATGCCAGTTTATTACAGTGACATAATATTTTACATAGCTAAGTAGTTTAAGTTTTTTAACATACAATGTGTCACAAATATGTGTGACATTAGCATTATATGCTATATTTACCCTAACAATAAAAACTCCAGCCAAATTCTCTAAAGTTTGTTGTTTAAACATTCAGACATCAAACACATTTATTCAAATGCAAATATTTATTACTGAATTTCATTGAAACATGTTTAAAATCAAACTTAATCATACATTTTTTGTGTGAAACCAATACTGCCATTAAAAAATCGTTTAAAAGAGAAATAACATAGTGTTCGTTTTACAAATTAAAAGTTGAATTTATAAGCTATAAAATGCACTATTGTTAATTCGATGCACTCAGGAGTTTTGCTGTTATAGCCTTACCTGATCTGGTATGATCAGCAGCTCATAGTGGCTAATGTGTCTGATCACTATACATTAATCTAAGGAGAAATTTAAAGGTAGCATGGGGTAATTGGGTTCAAGTGGCTTCCCTTGGATACACCTCAGGTATTTACTTAAGAGAGTGAATTTATTTATTTGCCAAATGACATAAAAGTATAGGAATGTGTTGTACCTCTATTTGGGTACACAGCTACATAAACACACTGATCACTATATGGAGACAGCAAGACCTCACTTTCAGTATGAGAGAGCAGTGCAAAGCATGTAGCAAAGACAACAGTCTTGATGACATTTGTGTCTTTTTTTTCAGGTTCATGTTTCATCAGAACAGATCAGCTGGACGGAGAAACAGACTGGAAACTGAAGGTTGCTGTCGGCTGCACGCAACGACTACCAGCAGTGGGGGTATGGATACATTACGATGTCGTGAATCTCTGGTAACAGACAAACTGACTGTGAATGAGTGCTGTGTTATCACTAAAAGCATTCCTCATCAAATGAAGTTGTCTGGCTGTGATGGAAACCTAATCACTGATGACAGACAGCAGGAACAATCTGGAGCTGACAGCAGCTTCCTTTAACTGGAGGCGATACTCAACACTTAAGATTTAAGTTGAGTTGATGGGGGTTTTTTTGTTGCCACTTAATGTGATCAGAGAATTAAAGTTTCAGCAAGTCATTTAATGATTGAGCCGTGGCATCCATATTGAGTTTCAAGAGACCTGAAGATAGTAAGAGTTGTCTTCACTTCAGCCACTAGTCAACCCTGTTACAGTGTTGTCTCTCAATTTGTATTCGAGATTGTATCCCAAAGTCACCTTTTGTCCGGAGTCGAGACGGATCAGTTTGACGCTCTTGTGTGATTGTTCTCAACAGAAAAATTATTATTTAGTAACAATTTCAGCCTCATTTATATCTCTGGATGCATTCCACTGAGTCTGAGCCTTCTGTAAAAGGCTGGAGCAACAGTATTCTCCATTGGGGATTCAGTAAAATAATCTTCCCTGCTCCTTTTTAACCGCTCTGCCCATGTTCTCACCAGGAGAACACTATCTGAGCATGACTGAGGGTTGCCTGGCCACTGCAGAGGCTGCCTGCCTGAATAATTTAATATTTACAATCAATTTTGTTCCACTTGGGGCGGAAAAAAAAAAGGCTAGTGTTAGGTGCTTGACAGGCCAAAGGCTGCAGTCTTACTTGCTGGGATGACTCGGAAACACGGATGATTGAAGACTTAAGGCTCATTGTTTTATTTTTGTATTTTCTTTGAGGTTCTATTTTGTTCATTTCTGCTCTGTTACGGCTTATAACACTCAAGATTTGTTTTAAAACAAGACGATATGGTTCCATTTAGCACCAGAATTTACTAAAAACAACAACAATGAGAATGGGGGAAATTAATTCTCTTATCTTGTGACAAAAAAATCTTGACTGAAGGTCCACTTACCAGCTTTTTCCAGAAGCGAATTCTCTCCATGAAAACTAAATAATCCATGAGATGTGGTTTAATGTTCCAATAAGTGGACGTTGAGTTAAGATTATATCGTAAAACTAATATTTCCAAGATTAGGAATGAATTTTCATTTTCAATTTTCATTTAATTTCATTCATTTTTGTGAACATTATTAATTTTGAAGTAGATCCCAACTGATATGAAATCAACTACTGATTTTAAAGGGGACAATTCACCGATTACCCATATGGCAGCTGTTCTAGTGAATTTGTGACCTGTCATGAAAATAGAACTTCTCTAATATGGCTTATTCACCGATTTGACTATGCCAAAGTACTCAGAAGGCTGCTTTCTTAAACAAAACACATTTTTGAAGGACATGGAAGCTAAATACCCTTCAACATGTTAAATAATTGAATATATAGTAATGTATATTAATTTTACTCACAGCTGCTTCTTCACTCTTACTCTTGTAGAATGAATGCTTCCTGCCATTGTATCGTAAATCGCAGTGCACTCTGCTGGATGAACTTTACAGACACTAATATGTTCCTACATGCATTATTTCTACCTTGTATACCAGAAAAAACAGTTTTTTAACATATACACTGATACTGATATGTCTGGAATAGTCCTAATATATTGGTCGGCCAATAATATCAGTCAAATAGTTACCGTTAAAATAGCATTTTTCTTTAAATGCCTATCCTCGTAGGAAATTAGTTGACACTCATTTAAAGTGATTTTTAGTGTTTGCAGCATTGAAACAAGCTTAAATTTGTAGCCTATGAACATGAAAGCACACTAAAAGTGGCAAAGAGCGTACAGTAATTCAGTTAAATAAGTCTGAATTTCATATGATTTAATAATACTGAACTTCCTCCCTTCCTGTCATGTATCCTTGTTTCAGGACCTCTTCTCCATCAGCGCCTATGTCTTCGCCCAGAAGCCTCAGCTGGACATCCACAGTTTTGAGGGGAACTTCACAAGGGTACAGTAGCTCGTTGACATATTTATAAGCTGTAAAACAAATCTTAAACACATGCAGATTTTTTCTTTAGAGACTGGATTGACATAGAAGATGTGTATCACTGCAATGTGTTGACAAGCGACAACAATGAGAGCTTGTGTGTCCATCCAGGCCTGTTGTTATCTCCAGCAGGCATACCTCTTACATCACAGGCAGGTTCTCGCAGCTCCAGCTCCATCCATCCCGTCTTGCTTGTTGCTCAGTGATTTTTTTTTTTTTCCCTTCTTCTTTTTTTATTAATAGCAGATTAGCGCAGCCCCCACAGAGAGGAGAGCTCCAGTACAAAGGGAGGCTTTGTGGGCCGTCTTCACTCTTGGCCACACACCAGGCTTAGTGAGCGAGCACTTCCTCCGCTCATTCATCCTCCGCGGCCTTCCTTTGCATAGCGTGTGCTTTTAGTCTGAGCAGGATGGGAAAAAAATGGGTTCCCACAGATCCGCAGCAAATGAACTTACCTATTTATGAGGGGTTCTTTTTTCCTTTTTTTTTTTCCTTGAGACGGATATGGTGGCTTTGTTTCTGTGGTCTTTATTGAGACCCTCTGCAGTTATGAACACCGTGGTTTGATGCCAATGTCAGAGCGGTCAAGCATTCTGCAACCTGCCATTTATTTTTCATGCACCTCTTCCCATGTTTGAGTGGATTGACAGGATGTGGGTGCTTAGGTATCATAATTATCATATCAGACACGCAATTTGAGCCGAAACTGGATCCTTGACCCTGCACTCCTGACTCAAGCCATTTTCAGCCTTCGTCTTTATTTAAGAGAGAAGGGTAAAACAGGAGGGAGGCTGAAACAAGAGGCTCTCCAGGGGCTTATTTATCACTGAAATCTCATCTATGTGCACTCTCTATACTGTTTTTAAAAGGAGCCTCTATCGCCATGCCAAATCTAGTGAAAGTATTGATAAAGGAACTACTGTATTGCTACAGTCTGCACAACCGTGTCAGGTGCTTGTGAAAATTAATGGCACAGCAGAGCTCGGCCATTCTGGTCAGGCTGTATACGCTCTCAACTGTGCTTATGTTCCTCAATTCTGTTAAACTGAAATCTTTATTTTCAGGGACATTTTGTTTGGTGTGTTTTGGCCAAAACAGAGAAATAACTTACTGTTTTGTGTGAAATTTGGCTTTCAAATACAGCGCATACTGCAGTGTGTGAAAATATTGGCCATAAAAAAAATTGGCAGTAAAGCACAGATCAGCTCTGTGGTAGAAAAAAATTCTTCCTTTTATGACAATTCATGCATGAACCTTCAGAATAGAATTCAATTAAAAAGTGAATGCCAAAATCAGTTTCAACTTAAAGTTTCCCAAAATGTTTGACGAGATTAGAGAGCAAGAGCAAAATTCATGACTTTGTGGCCTTGGTCTTGTTTTTCTTATCTGCTCTAGGGCCAAACTGAACAATACTAATTAGAAGTTGCTAATTGCAGAAATAAATTCACAACGTTGAGGTATTTCTTTCAAGCAGGTATCTCTCCTCTGCCATTCACTAGGTTATTTGAGTTTCTTTTCTCCCCAACAAAGTGTTTCAATGAGTGACATTTAAGTTCATTTACCAGCACTGAAAATATTAAACCATTTGTCAGACTTGTAATATTTATGTATTAACTATATTTGGATGTCCAGCAGCAGCTGCCATGTGCCTTTTTGTTTGGAACTACCATACCATAGTCATTAAAGCTTACACTGTGAACTAAAACAAATATACACAAATTGTGACTCAGTGTTTTTCCTTTTTCATTTCTCCTGTAGGAAGACACGGATCCACAGATCCATGAGAGTCTGAGCATTGAAAACACTCTGTGGGCCAGCACAGTCGTTGCATCTGGTAAGTAAATGACAACTTTTATTTAAAGTCAGTTTTTATCTGGAAATGAGATGTAAGATTTTTCCAGATGATACCTGGCAGCTCCAGTGTGTCCATTCCCAGTAACACTGCAGAATGACTCACTGTGTTTATGGTTTATGTAGAATTTGATGTATGGTCTGCTTCTCATTGAATCTTTATGCCGTTTGTCAAGAAGTCATTTTTAAAACCAAGAATAAATTAAAATACTGTATCACTGAATCCAAAATAAGGTTTCTGTCCACCAGTTTTTATGTGCAGTTTCAATTCATTCAAAAATGTGTAAAAAAAGTAAAAAACAAAATATCTCAAAAATGTTTTTGTACTTGGCTTAGGAGAAAATGTTGACACATCAAACATCTTAATCATGCTACGCTACTCTGCTTCTTGAGTTGTACACAGAGCATTCGTGCCATTCCGGGACTCCTTACATGAAACCACTCCACCAAAAAAGTAATGACTAATAAAAAGAGTGGGGGTGCTGGGAGTGTATGTAACCTCAACGACCCTGGTTCAAGTCCAGACAGGGGCCCTTGTTGAATGTCACCCCCCTCCACCCACCATAGTGGCACGCAGAAGGGTGAACGTGCATCAGAGATAAATGTAGTTGCTGAGATTTTAGAAACTTTTGCAACATTTTAATAGAAACAAAACTAGTCACCAAAACCAATCCCTGCTCAACGCTGTACTTTATGATTTTTAGTGATTCTGCTTGGTCTCGTACTCTAGTTGTCTCTCAAAATATTCATGGCATTAGACCTTGAAGGCGTTGGATTTGATACTGCTATGTGCTTGCGTGAAGAACTCTGAGAATACCCACAGTTGAGGTAATCCTCCCTCGCTTCGAATAAGCGATTCCCCACAGAAACGGTTGTGTCAGTTGAGAGTGTTTGTGACGCTTCCAGCGATGGCCGCACCATTGATTTGCGGTGTTGCTCTCCCCTCTGGCCTGACCTTGACCAGAAGAACAAACACACACGAACTCGCACAAAAAGCCTGACTTAGACCCCTTACATCATCTCTGCTTGGGAATGTCATTGTCCCCCACAAGCCTCCCCTTGACAGACACTTCATCGGCTCTACAGTGGCATTCTGGGCACTTGAACTGGCCTGGATCACCATGTATTCACCCTCTTATAGGCCCCAGTCCAGCTGTGACAAGAGAATTAGTTGTTCGCATATTCAAATTGAAGCCTTTCTGCATGCTGAGCCACACACAATTTGTCACATCGCTCAATATTTCTGAAGTTAGAAGTCAACGAGAGCAATTCATCACCTTTCTCCCCAGGTCCTGTAACCGTTGGTCTCTTTTCTTTTTCTCTCACTGCCTCTGCTTCACTTTCCTCGCTTGTTTTCGGCCCATTTTTAACTTTCTGCAGTTTTTATAGTTTGGGGATTTCAGGGGCTGTATTCAGGTTTATTATTGCCTTTGCTCTCCCATTAAGCTCATTTAATATTAATGACTCATTAATCCTTTGTAATAAGGCCGCCGTAATGAATTGGCAAATAAAGATGGCAGTGTATTGATCAGGTTTTATGAGCTTCCATAGGGTGGCTGAAGGCCCTGAGAGTCTAAGCGTATTAAACTCCTGTCTGTTGGCTTGAGTGGCAATGAGACAAAACTGCCTCAGCTCAGCCTTATTGTGTTTCCTCTCATGCAGTTCATCTTACTTGACCAAGATGAGTGTGTGCATGTATGTGTGTGTGAGATGGTGGGGGTGGGGTGCAGTTAATGAGCAGCATTACTTTCCTTGTCTCTCTCCTTGGCAGGCACGGTGATAGGGGTGGTGATCTACACAGGCAAAGAGACCAGAAGCGTACTGAACACGTCTTATGCCAAGAACAAGGTGAATACTTTTTTTAGTTTTTGTATTTCTGCCGGAAGACGGAAAGTTGTGTGATTTATTTATTTAAGTTTTTGGTTGCAGATGCTTTAAATCTAAGAATATTTTTTCTTTTTTATAACAAATTTTAGGAGGACAGTGTGTCATGGTCGATATTCATTTCTTAATATAGCGATTTAATAGTTATGTGTATAAAATGTCAGAAAATTGCCCAACAATTTACTGAAGCCCTAGATTAAATCTTGAAATGTCTCGTTTACTCTGAAGATCCCAAAATATCCTGTAAACTATCAAATAAGATTTTAAAAAAACAGCAAATTGTCACAGTTTAGTAGCTGAAACTAGATGTAATGTAATGTTTTATGCTTAAAAAAAGACAATTGGTTCCCAAAAACATATGCCAATTTATTGTCTGATTGTTTGAGCTCTATTTAAATCACATTGCAGACAGCACTAAAATGTACTTTACAGAGTATATTTTTTCTTTCTGTATTTGTTTTGGGGAAAAAAACGTTTAATTTTTAAATTGTATTTATTTTTCAAACTATTTTTTTTAAAGCATTCACAAAAAAAACCTCAAACATTAAAGGCCTGTGAGGCGATGCCAACATAAACAAATGTTTTGTAAAAGCTGCAGAGAGTGAAACACGTTGCACATCTGTTCCAAGTTCCCCTCATGCCATCTTTTTCCCCTGCCTCTAATCACTAATCAATCACTTTGGCGAGGTGGTTTTTTAACCTTGACTTTCTAGATAAAGTTGGACCTGTCAATGCGAAAGGTCAGCGCCAGTTGCTAATTAACCAAAAGGGAAATTAACTAACTGAGGATTTAAGTGACATTTTCAGCTGAAAGTTAATCCCACAGAATCCCCATTGAGCGTTTTGTCCCCAGATTGAGGAGATTAATGAAAATTTAATTCTAAATATAAGATTTTACCTGGAAGATGGTTGAGTTAGATAGACACGGGTCAGCTGATAGAGGCGGGCATCAGTGGGATCTCGGAGCCAGTGGTTTGGCCACCGTGCATGCAATGACTTTTACACACAAAGTTATCACCTACAACTGTCTGCACCTCTAAAGCTCTCCGTGGCACAACACAGCCGCCTCCTACTGCAGCACAGTTTTGACACCAGTGTCTTTTATTAAGAACGCTGATGTGGCCGGTCGAACAGCGGGGGCCACTGTTTTGTGTAAGCTCGACAGTTGAGAGGAATTCAATATTTCAAGGAGATGATGTCAGAAGTGCCAATATGGAGACTGGAGATTGGGGGAGAAAGTCGATACAGTGTGGCTGAAGTCGCAAGAACGTTTTGGCCTCATATAATCTGTTGTGACACCGGCCAGGACAATGCCTGCACTTGATCAATCTGACAGGACGTCAGACATAGATTCACTCTTTGTCTCGGTATTGTTAGACAGACCTCTGTCTGAGTAAAGAGACAGAACAGTGTCATTTGACAAGAGGCTGCTCTTCAGCAACGATTGTTTGTTCGAAGTACGTATCCAAGTCCCAATACTCTGCTCTCGCCACACGTCTCTCAAACTGTTACTCTGGAAAAAAAAAAAAAGAGAAATAGAAAGTTAAAGTTGTAAGATCTCAAGAATCAATTCCAGTGTATTTTCTTGACTTCGTTGATTTGCCAGTCACAAGCGCTGAACAATACACTACTTGCTGACTAAAGTCCTGATATTCTTTGGTTTTAACTCGATGAATATTCATGTCCCGGGGGTTCAATTCTTCATCAGATTTCACACACATGCTAAAATACAAGCCACACAGGCAGATCGAATCATTCCTTTCACTTTTAATGGCTTGGAGATGAATGGAGTAAAATATGCACTTTTTTATTCATTGATAGCATCTTTAGGTTGAGGTAATTGAGTCCTTTTCCCCCCCTTGACTGAATGAATAATGACTTCATCTGATCCCCGGCAAGGCTTGGAAAATTTAGACCAGCCATTGTTCAAGCAGAAGGGGATCCTTTGCTTTTCAGGCATGCACTGTGCTCTCTGTCTTAATTTTTCTTCATTTTAATCCACCCAAACCCCCTATTTTTCTCAATAGCTCAACCATGAACCATGTAGTGAGGCTGCGGGGTGGGGAGGTACCCACCCGCTCGATCCCCTTACCCTTCCCTTCTGCGCACTCTGCTACTGGGAGTTTAACAGCAACTGATAAATCAGTCACACTGGTCTCCCAGCTCTCCCAGTCCTCAGGGGAATGGGCTTGGTGGGGGTTTAGGCAGTGGAGGAATTCTGCTGCTTTTTATATGTGCTTGCCCCCTCCCCTCCTTTTCAGAGCAGTTTCTTTTATTTGAGGGAGGAGATGTTATGTTCTGCTGTTTTTGTAAGCGTGGTGCGTCAGAAGAAAGCCCTCTGTGTACAGGACTTTGCTGTGAGCGCTGCCAGAAAGGGGAAAGGCACTTCTTTATTTGACATCTTTTTCCCACATGCTCCATTGGCTGGGAGATACACTCGAAAAATAAAAGACAACTCTGACCCTCTTTTTTTTTTTCCTTTTTTTTTTTTTTCTAGAGCGCTATCTCAATATAGGAACTTTATTTTTGAGGCCCTTTGACCTTCTGTTGCAAAAAAGAACAATACTTCAGCATGGCAATAATGCAGCTTCTAGTTTACCATAAAATAGTGCCACCAATAAGCTTATTTATGTTGTTCAAGCTGTTTGCATGATAAAAGCCTGCAGCCAAGAATGGCTTTCATTGGCTTTGTTTTTTCTCCCTGTGTAGCATATTGTAAGGCTTTGGGAGCAGATGGGAAAGTTACAAAGAGTCTTCTCTAGTATAAGTTGTCAGAAAGGGAATAAGATGTTTACACAAAGTCTCCAATCTGGACTTAATATTGAAAGTTTACGTGTTGTGTTATTCCCGCTGATGAACACATCAACAACCTCAAGCTATGGAGTGTAGAATGGATCAAAAGTAATACATGCACTCATCAGGTTTTACTAAGATTTATAAATAACTCCACGCTCTAACCTGCTTAGAACAAATGAGTAGGACGGTAATGTTAATATCTGCTGTTTTGACCTCTGACCTCTTGTCCCGATAGGTTGGCTTACTGGACCTAGAGCTGAACCGCCTCACCAAGGCCCTGTTCCTGGCCCAGGTGGTTCTGTCTGTTGTCATGGTGGCAGTGCAGGGGTTTGTGGGTCCTTGGTTCCGCAATCTTTCCCGATTCGTTGTGCTTTTCTCTTACATTATCCCCATCAGGTACTTTATGATTTACCTCATTCTTGCCGCTTTTGTCTGTTTTGTGACCACAACCAAACCATGGCTGTGCACTGCTATCTTTTTCCCCCCCTCAAACTGGAAAAAAATAAATAAATTAGAAAAATCTTTCATCCCTGTTTTGAAACCCAAACTCCAAATCTGCTTTGTTTTTGGGTCTTTACACTGTACAGACACTTTTTAGAATTTATTATTATTATTATTATTAGGGGATTTTTTTCCAGTTTTTGTGGCAGTTTTGCTGGTGTTTTATTTTATTTTTTTCTGTAATAGATTACAGCTTTGTTATTTCCATGTGTAGTTTGCGTGTAAACCTGGACATGGGGAAGGCAGCTTACGGCTGGATGATCATGAAAGATGAAAACATCCCTGGCACGGTTGTGAGAACCAGCACCATCCCAGAAGAACTGGGCCGACTAGTCTATCTGCTGACAGACAAGACTGGTAGGTGTCCAAACATACTAAAGATCACATTTACAGTAGATTTTTGGTACTTAAGTTAAAGCAAAATTATATTTCACTTTAAAAGGGCAACTGGTTTGAATAGGCTGTGCATGTACTCGATAGAGGAATCACAGCTTGCATCACCATACCTTGAAAGATCTGACTTTGAATGCACAGGGTGACAATATTGTATGTGTATATAGTAGATTTATATTTATTCTTACATTTTATTCCCGGTTTTACACTCCATTGGACACTGTCCTTTTCCAGAAGTGAAGCACACACTCAGTTCTTGATCATGGCTGGGTTAGCAACAATACACAACATGTCACTGCCAGACATGAATGCATATCAGGTGTTCTGTTGAATTCAATTTCTTAGAAAAAGTGGAGCACAGTAACACTCTAAAGAGATATAATGTCATAAAAAGTGGAGCCTAATGTTCCACTGTGATAGAGTATTAAAAAAGAAGCACATGATAAAACAAAATAATGTAATAAACCCAATAAAACGCACAATAAATCTCCACAACTTGCTTGTAAACTTTAGGGACTAACATCAGGCTGAAAGTCAGCTGCTCACCATTGTAAAATACAAAGACTTTATATATTGATATACGTCATTATTTCACATAGAAACAAAGCCACTTAATTTCAGTTTAATTATAAGCTTAAAATCTAATCTGACCTGTCAACATAGTGAGTAAAAGAAAGCACAAAAGGCAAAAGCTTCAACAATTCTTTAGAATTTCCCGGTGTTATTTAGGCCTCCTTCCCTTTCTCTCATTTCACAATCATGGCTTGATTCTCTAATAACAAATAGCTGCTCTTTACTAATGCTAGACAGTGTGTCAGAGTGATAAACTCCTGCGGTGGTCCTAACATGCTTCTTTGTCTTACCCTGCTGATCTATGTAGGAATAGATTAGCTGTAGACCCTATTTATCCAGGTTGATAGTTAAAGCACATGGAAAGAAGAACAAACAATCAATCCAGTAGAATTGGGTAACCCTGTGGCCCTAATGTTTTTGGAAGTTAGATGCCCTCTAATCAGCTTTATGCTCTATCAGCACTCATTCTGGCAACCGACATCCATTAAACAAGGCCATTGCCCTCGTTTTCCAAGTTCTTTTTTTTCCTCTTTCAGTCTGAACACTCACTCGGTCTTTTTGTATGCAATGTTGTCTCTTGTCTGTTGGTTAGAGAGGACATGTGGTCCATATTGGTAATGAGATTAGGTCAATGAGAAGGCAGTCATACCATCCTGCAAGTCCCATGATGCATTGTAGGCAGTCCTCTGAGGACAAATGCTGTGTTTTCTATGTTTGTGTGTGTGTGTGTGTTTGAGTGTGTGCTTTCAGAGATGTTGAATAGGGATTCACAATATTGGACATGGATATCTGATATGTCAGTATTTTCCAACCTATTT